TTAAACGAAACTCGCTTAAACGAAAATGCCTCATTAACGGAACTAAACGGGCTCATATGGCTAGATTTATATGCATTGCACAGTAAAATTCATCGGTTATTTGAAACAGTGCTTACTGGTCACCTACGGTTAAATGGCACAAACCCTCAAACACAGCATAGACTATCTCATGCCAAAGGTAGTCTCACAACCATGGCAACACCTCGAGATCGAGACAAGCCAATCCAGTAGACATTCTCGCTTGCGGCTGTGGAAGCAGAGTCGGCGAGTCAATTGTGCGTTAGAGAAATGATTGAAGGCACTGTTAAGAACGGGACCTTTACATCTAAACGAATGCAGACAGCACCTTATAATCAACTAGAAAAAGTTCTTTTTCTGTGGTTAAAGCATGCACGGAGTTCCAATTTGCCCATAAGCGGACCAATTCTCGAGCAGAAAGCTCGGGAGATTGCCATGCAAATGGGTGTTAAGAATTTTGCCCTAAGCGATAGATGGCCCAGCCGCTTCAAAACACGCCATGGCCTAGTCTTCAAAGCAATCTCAGGTGAGAGTGGTGCAGTCAACAGGAACATTTGCACCGACTGGCAACCTGGGCGGCTTAAGGAAATTTTGATGAGCTTTGAGCCACGAGACGTCTTCACCATCGCCGAGATGGATCTTTTTTATAAAGCCCTTCTATCAAAGACAAAGCCGAAGCCTGTAGGGAAATGCAGTAATGATCGCATCACTGTGCTGATGGGTGCAAACATGGCAGGAGATGAGCAATTGAAGCTGTTTGTAATAGGAAAATCAAGGCACCCACGTTGTTTCAAAGGCCTTCGACACCTTCCCGTTACGCACCATGGGAACGGAAGAGTGTGGATGAACACGGCCATTTTCGAAAACTGGCTTCGAGAGGAAGACGCAAGATTTACGAGGCAAGGCAGAAAGGTTGTCTTCATTGTGGATAATTGCCGAGCCCACGGTCAGGTTCAAGGACTCCAAGCCATCACTTTGGAGTTCTTCCCAGCCAATGCAGTGGTAGTGACGCAGCCGATGGATCAAGAGGTTATTCAGAACAGTAAAGTTCATTACCGCAGACAATTGCTCCATCAAATGCTGTTTAGAGCAGGCAGCGGGAAATTCTACAGCATAGATTTATAGGCAGCCATCCATATTTTGGCTTGTGCCTGGGAGCAAGTGAAGACAACAACAATACACAGATGCTTTCACCATGCTGGCTTTCAGGCGCAAGATAGAAGTACCTGATGAACAAGAAAGCCCTCCTGATGCCGACATTGAGACAGTATTCAGTCAGGTCGTGCCCTCTGCCCCTTTCACGCTGCAGGACTACGAATCAATTGATGAAAATGTTCGAACCTGGCATCAAGAGACTGTCAAGGAAATGATTGCCAAAGTGCAAGATGGCGATCAACCTTTCAGCGATGAATGTGATGATACTGCCAGTGCAGTGGTGCGACCAAACCCATCAGTTCAAGAGGCTGTCGAACTTTGCAGCGCTATTTTGGGCATGATGCTTGTCCAGTATTTCTTGCTAGTTTATCAGGCATGGGTGCGTACCTTGTAAAAAAACAACTCAAGCTTGCCAAACAAACCACTCTTCACTCCTTTTTTTTTTTCCTACTCATCCTCATGAGTAAGGTGAGGTTTGTGCAATTTGAATAAAGGTCTTGGTTCACTAAATAAGTGTACTTTGCTTAAATGAAACTCCTGATAAATGGAACAGTTTTATGGATCCCTTTCAAGTTCCGTTTAAGAGGAGTCGACTGTAATACCGTATTTACTCGCACAATCCTCGCACTTTTTTTGCCAGAAAACCGATGCAAAGTTGGGGCGTGCGAGAATTACGCGGGCAAAACTTTCTACGAAAATGCAGAGAACGAAATGCAGAGAGCGAAAAAGAAAACGAAGTGGCCACAAATCGGAATTCTCCCAAAAGCACCTTCATCATCATCATCATCATCATCATCATCAGCCTGACTACGTCCACTGCAGGACAAAGGCCTCTCCCATGCTCCGCCAGTTAACCCAGTCCTGTGCTTGCTGCTGCCAATTTATACCCGCAAGCTTCTTACTCTCATCTGCCCACCTAACCTTCTGTCTCCCCCTAACCCGCTTGCCTTCTCTGGGAATCCAGTTAGTTACCCTTAACGACCAGCGGTTATCCTGTCTACGCGCTACATGCCCGGCCCATGTCCATTTCTTCTTCTTGATTTCAGCTATGATATCCTTAACCCCAGTTTGTTCCCTAATCTACTCTGCTCTCTTCTTGTCTCTTAAGGTTACACCTACCATTTTTCTTTCCATAGCTCGCTGCGTCGTCTTCAATTTAAGCTGAACCCTCTTTGTAAGTCTCCAGGTTTCTGCTCCGCAGCTAAGTACCGGCAAGATACAGCTGTTATATACCTTTCTCTTGAGGGATAGAGGCAATCTACCTGTCATAATTTGAGAGTGCTTGCCAAATGTGCTCCACCCCATTCTTATTCTTCTAGTTACTTCAATCTCGTGGTTCGGCTCCGCGGTTATTACCTGCCTTAAGTAATAATGATGATGATGATGAATTAGAACTTACCTCAACAATAAAAGCAGAGGTTCAACAGAAGGCAAAATTTATTTGAGACACAAAAAGTGGAAGCAAATAGTCGAGAATCAGAATACCATACGCAAATCTTGTGGGCGTTGCGGGCGTAGCGGTAGCGGTCGACGCTCAACAGGAGCCCTCAAAAAGTAAGCCTAGGACGTCAGTATTGGGCTGATGGCTATTTAACAGAATTGTTGGCAGTTCCCTTCTGAAGAAATAAAGTTTACCATGAATCCCAGTTTTAGGCACACGGCAGGCCCAACGCGTCTTGGTGGCTTTCAGCTGCCGTCACCAGTAGCGAACACAAAACTCGTAGGCTCCGAAGGGCATACCAGCGGCCCTGTTGCCGTTGTTTAGCGCATGATCTATCATTTGCAACTTGAAGCAGCCGTGTGGCTTCAGTATCGCCCCATAAAGTGCCAAAACTACCGACACAATACACAAAACACGCCGCAACGCGCACAGGCCACTTCAGCTTGGCTTGGATCTCCGTGCAATAGTACGCTTGATGCTTAAGAGATGGCGCCAGGTGGTAAGCGCTATCATCATCAATGGCTGGAACGAGCAGACGACATTATTGCGGCAGTTTTTGGGGATGCGATAATTACTCGAGGAAAAAAAAACGTATTTTTTCTTGGGCGATGTGGGGGGTGCGAGAATTATGCGAGTGCGAGGATTACGCGAGTAAATACGGCATATTTTTTTTGCGACACAGTACCATAGCAGGGAGCGGATCGTCTGTTGGCCAGTTGCGTGCAGCGCTTCGTCTACTTGGCGTACACACCATGCTGATGCACTTGCGAGCACTCCGCTTCAGACTCGGCACAGATGCAGCGCGTAGCCTGTTGCGTTCACGTGACAATGTGAGCTTTCTGCAAAAGATGTTCTAGCCGTCCTGGCAGTAGACGGAGGCGCGTTTGGACAATTGTTTCGTGAAAGCGTGTGCTAGGCTTGCTGTCTCAGTCCCCACGATCCACATGGCTCAACTCCGCAACAGGGAACTGCTTTCGTTTCTGCAAAGTTGTGCCCACTGAACACAGTCCCGCACGAGTGAGATGGCAGCAATCAGCGTTTGATCCCTTTCAAGTAGTTGCCAGCTATCAAAAACATGCAGTAAGCTTAAAACAGCACTTTGCCATACCCATAGGCTTTTCGTAGGCAATAAGTCATACTGGCGTGCTTTTTGGTAGTTGCCACATCAGCTTCGTTCTCTACCACTGATTACAAGAAAAATCACCACCTCAATCACGCAGAATAATTGAATGGTAGATTCTGTGGTTTTGCAGGAGCGCAAGTACAAAATGGCGACCATCACATAATATCTGCTTACGATGCATGTTGTCAACATAACTTTTTGTTCCAAAACCAGCTTGTGGTGCAGCAATGGCACGAATTATACAAAAATACCTTTTTGGAGCAGTGTGGTGCAGTAATGTCCATTTGACGCATGTTTCCCATCACTGTGCTATGATGCACGTCCATCCACAGTCACCAAAGTATTTGGCTCTCAAATCACAGCATCCAGAGATGGAGTACCAAGTTGTCGTGATAAAAGTTTCTTCAAATATGCGAGTACTATTTACGTGAAGCAACACCAGACCCAGACCGACAGGCCGCATCTAGATGGTGCAGTGGTGCGAAGCCATGGCGCAGCTCCTTCAGACCTAGCTATACCTACACCTCCTAAAACTCTGTCCCTGTAGTATCCTCAACAAGCCTGGCAACGACCTAGTCCCGTGAAAAGTGTTGTGTTTTCTAAAGTGAACAAGTAATTTTATTTCCCAGGAAGATGATGTAGTGTCCATACGTAGCCTATGTTAAAATGCGGTAAGGCAACCCTGTACAGGAGGGAAGTGAAGAAGATGGCTGCCAAGTAATGTCAAAATAAAGCAGTGTGCCGTTCCTGGTTCAATTGGCCTTAACCCCTCGTACTACTGACACTACAGTACGTTACAGAGTGCATAAACTTGGTCAGTTTGTGGTTGTTTTTATGTATCTTTCATGTGTGTATGTGTAATAATTTTGAAAGTACAGCCTTTCTGAAATGAATGAATCATTTATGTTAGCCCTGTATACTTGAGCGAATATGGGCTCCCTGTAAAGGTGATTTTTTTTTGCCAAGCGGGAGTGCCATGCCGTGAAACTACATTCAGAGAAAATCTGCACTGCCATGAAGCAACACTTGAAAATCAAACATACAGATTACTTTTGCCTGAATAAATAAATTCCAAAGTTTAAAAGCATGTGATACACGCTTGTATATGGTAAGTATGGTAATTTTCATAATGCCATGCATTGTGCCAGTTACTGCTATACAAATCTTAATACTACTAACCACAGTAGCTCAGCTTGGAACCAAAAAAGAAAGCGACAGACATGCCAACTGAGGAGAATACACATTCCCAGAGAAGGGAACTACCTGCGCACAGCCTTGAGGTCGTCAGGCGGCACCCGGCCCTGGGCAGCCGTGCTGCGCGTCTCGTTGAGCTGCTCAAAGGGGCGCACAAACCGCAGACCAAAGGTGGCCTCGAAGAGCTGCTGCGAAAGGTGCTGCTCCTCGGTCAGGCCAAAAAACGCTGTGCTGCGCAAGTTCTTGCGCGCACTGGCCAGCAGCAGCAGGTCACGCTCGTGCTCACTCATGCTCGAACGGTTGTAGCAGCCAACCAGGGTCAGGTCAGCCAGCATGCGTGTCTGACGGTTCACGGCCAGGTTCGACGGACATGCCAGAAACTCCTACAGCCATAGCGTCATCAAGCACAGCCACTAAGTGAAATCTGAATGAGCCTAGTAATGCTAGAAACATTTCTTCAGGGCTCTTACTGCAAACCACATCACTTTAGATGTTAGTCCCAAGAAAATACAGCAAGCTGTTCAATGACAGCTGCAATTATAGTGCCAGCATCTGGTCAACATTACCATCAGCTTCGAGCTAGCAATTATGGCTTGAAAGCTGGGCATGTGAGAGAATCGGGAAACAGCAATGATACTTGTACACTTCTGTTTAAATTCTGCTAACTGTACTCTAAGGTATGCACATTATAACCTTTGGCTCATCTCTCCTCTTATCAAGCATATTGCTTTTGAAACCTTTGTGTGGCCAAAGCAGGAGGATTTTCAGTGCTCATCACAGTAACCTCACTTACATCTCGAGCATAGAGTTTCTCACAAACTTACCTAGAGAGAAATCTGGCGCTAGGGAGCTGCTGGATGCAAGGGAATGATGGTATATGTGAGCTTTAAACTTGACTCTGATTTGTATACCTCGAAGACACGTCTGGCTTCACGTTAAAATGATTGATTTCTTATTAAAAGAGGACATAATAAGCTGTTTACTTTTGTCATTGCACAAAGACGTGTTTTATTTAACAATAAAACCTTCGGCGTCGATGTACAATTTTACGAAGCGTAAAAAGTTATCAATGGCAGCTAAACCTGGCAGGCAAACAACAAAACGAGCGTTCCCACCAACACTCTCATGTCATCTGTTTCTTTCTTTTGCCATTTGGTTGTTCCGTCAAGGTGAGTGGACTTCGTTTTTAGAATGTAATACGTGTAAATGACATCTGCTCATAAATGTTTTGTTTCAGAAAAGCTTTATTTACGCAGCCGTGTTCGCTTTTGAGCCAAAGCCTCGCCCAACACCAGCCAACACAAGTCTCAGACACATATACCATCATTCCTAGCGCTCCAACAGGGCCCCTTAAGAAATTCACATAGACGATGGCGCCACACTTTATTCTAGGTATTATTGTGAGAAACTCTATGCCCTCGAGCCTGTCAAAAACCGTGTCGCATAATTCATGCTGTCTAACTATTCATACAACTCCAGCATCTCGGCACTAAAACACAGGTTACTTACCCAATCGAATACAAAACGGAAAATCGCACGTTCTAACCTTTTTATAAATTGTTAAATATATTGCCTTTAAATAAGCCATACATCTCTGAACAGGCCACCGAAAAATGCCAAGCAAGAGTCCCCCAACTCTCCGACACGGTAAAGTATATTCCAACCAGATTTGGGAAAAAAAGCCAAGCTCGGTCCCAGACCATAATTCAAAAGCCTCTAAAATACAAAAAATGCCCTTACATGTTTCTGATAAAATTCCTAATTTGTTTACTGTTTTTATTTTCCTCGTCAAACTCATCAAAATGACTCTTCAGAGTCTGATACAGAATTCCGTGCACTCGGCCTGCAGAGACCTGCGGTTTTCTGGTGGTGCCTTGCCAACAATGGAGAGCCTGGCCGAAAGTGCATCATACTCCTGGCCATCTAATACCTTAGATAAGCACTGTATACATTTATAGAAAGAGGGGGCGTCTTGCTCAGGTGGGTGCACTTGCTTTGCATTTTAAAAAACAAAATTTCCAGCAAAAATTCCTTCAACGCAGTATATCCACTGCCATAGAGTTAATATACAGACTCGAGAGGAAAAGCTCCCCATAGGGCCCATGCATTAAAACCCATAACCGCTTGGGTTCCGCCATCATGGAACGATACTCAGCTTTTGGGTGACGTTCACTCACAGTCGCCAGTGCATGCTGCAATTGCACCAGGCATTTTCTCTGTTTCGTGGATCTATGTAACGTCGCAGTAAGAGACAGTCACATGAAGTCGAGTTTTCGGCTCACGGCAACAAAAAACACAGACTCCGTTTCGCCCAGCGTGCAAGCTAGTCGGTGCTATTGGCCACATGCCGCATCGCCACGCTCTCAACGTTAGAAGAAAGATGGCGCCATCTAATGAAAAAACCTTGCGAGCCCTCCTCTCCGCACTCCGTAAATTGGATAAACAGCCATTGTATCTTTCCTATAAGTAGATTATATATATTCTATGCAAATTTCGTTTATATTTATTACGTGAGCATGCTTCTTCAAAATTTGTATTGCGAGAATTTGAGTGTTTTAAACGTTTAAATTTAGGACTTCTTTAAATTATTCTGATGGCAACAATGAGAACGTTCCAAGTTGTCAGTGCTTTAGTGGTTATAGCTTTTCCGGCCCAGCTTTTCCTCTAAAGTCTATATGTATACTCTATGTCCACTACAAGCCCCCACCCCCACTTTTCCCCCGATCCTTCTTGCTGTGCACAAGTAGAGGCTAGTAACATTCTCCCCACCAATGTCACCTACCTTCAAGCATTGATGAGACTTTTCGAAACCATTCCATCGTAATTTACACTACACTGCTTGCCTCTCTAGAACGCACTCCCTCACGCAATGTCTCAAGCATACTTTTGAGAGAATAAAATGAATGATCGAACGAACACATCTCAGTTGCGCAGTAATGTGGCAGTCCATTCGCCAATAAGGCAACAAGACAAACTTTCTGCTTTGCTACTTTGGTCTTTATAGCGATTGTCGCCGACTAGGTGATTGCATCCCTTGCAGGAGACCCAGAAAGAGGCCATGCTTTGAAGGGTTCGCAAGCAAACTCGATAAGAATACAGTGGATTAGAACCAAGTGCACTTGCCTTTCCTTTCACCCAGCCGTCCCTTTTTACAAGCTACACATGTGCGTACACACAATAAAAGCTTTGTTGACAGCAAGGCTGGGCAGAGATACCTGAAAAGTGTTCTGAAACACAGATATCAAAATGCGTGGTTTGGAAGCCTGAAATACAGATAATGAGACGCATTTGTAATTCACGTAATGGGATATTTCAGAGATACTTTTGCAAAAAGACGAAAAAAGTATTCCGGAATACAGATACAGCAATACAGATACTGAAACACTTTTTCTCGATGTCGGGGACAGTAATACTTTGTGAAGATATTTCTTATGTGCAGCATAATATTTAAAATATGCAGCGTATTGAAACTTGCAATTAAATATATTCTTTATTTTATCACCGTACTCTGAGTGCCATTAAAGCATTACAAAGGAGGCTTACACTGTACATAATTGCTAATAACGACATGTTTACAGACATCAGGTGCAATAAAAAATTATGCTGTATGAGAGCCAGAGTCACACGCAATGTACACCAAAATCGGGATATTTCTCAGCAACAGTAACAGCTATGCTAGAAGTAGCATAGTTCAAACTATGCACTGGAACCATAAACAAAAGAATTGAGAAAAGGTCTGATTTTATTCACAGCGGTCAGCATGAGTATCTGACTAATAAAAAAGTAAAGCCCCTGAATTCCTTGTTGTCGCTGTAATAGCCGCGCTTACTTTGACAACCTTCTACTTTGTAGACTAGCAGTTAGGCTACTTGGTTTCTAGTTCTGCTGAAGTGGTCTAGCACGAAGCAGGAGGAGAACACATAAACAAAGAAGACAAGTGCTTACTTCTAGCTGAAGGTTTGGTGTTTCCTAGAAACACAGAAAAAGCAGAACGAAGAAAAGAAGGAGTGCTAAAGGAAAGGCAAAAAAAACCTTCTTCGAATCGCCATGGGGCGACGCTGGTGTCTTCGAGAAATTCTTTGGAGAAAAAAGTATCGTTGATGGCACACCAAATTCTTTGGGTGCTTTGTGGCTTCTGCGATAGGCTCTGGTTTTTCGAATGGGCGCCGCAAGAAAAAGAGTAAAAAAAACTGAGAAAAAAAGCACTGCTCGTTCAATTTACATTAGGGAACACATTTTAAAAATGGCACTGTTGGTTGGCACCCATCTTGCAGTATACAATGATCCTCACAATGAAAATGTCACTGTTGGAATTCGAAATGGCAGTAAAACATTGTTAGCAAGCTCAAGCAGGCGATCATTCAAACACATTCCAGTTCTGTCTGAAGGTGCAAGTAGGATGCGGGTAGCAAAGGGACTAGCTCGCTTTCAAGAAGGTAGGAGTCAGTTTCACCCTCAGCAAAGATGTAGAAATGATGGGCGCATATCTTCCCATCGACTGCCAAGGTCACATAAAAAAAAAAATTTTTTTCCACTCTAAACACGTTTCAACTCATTTCCAAATAAAAATAGTAACGAGATACCCATGTCCTAGACAATATCGCGATACGGGCGAAACATCGTAAGGTATTTGACTACTGAGATACAGATAAAATTTTGAAAAGTATCTCGATAAAGCAATACAGATACTCAAAAGTATCCCTGAAGTACTATCCCGATACTCTTGTATCGCGATACAGCCCAGCCCTGGTTGACTGTCAGCATTCATCCTTGTACATTCTTTCTTCCCCTGTCCACGTCTAATTCAGTAATGATATTCTTCTTTATATATGAAGCCATGCCTGAAAGGCCAGGCTTGATAGCCTTTTGCTTTTGCTTAGTTTTTTTTTTCTATGTACAGAAAAATAAAATAAACCTTAAACCTCACAGGTCCAGCATAGAAGGGTACACAGAAGTGAAAGAAGTGAAACGGACAAGCACCGCCTTCCAACTGTTGCTTATTACAGCAGAACTTTAATATACTATACCATACACATGTGAATACATCTACATTTGTCCATGAATGAGGGTAATTAAAAAGCAAACCTATGTCGAAATGTAGCCAAAATGTGAAAGAACACCCAGCACTGGTCAACGTATGTGTTACAGTCAAACCCACTTAGAACTAGGCACAAGCCTAGTTCAAGTGGGTTTGACAAATATCACAGTATTTGAATTTGCTACGATTTAAATTTAATATTTAAACTTTTAAAGTATTCAAAACCATCAAATAGGTGTATATTAGTCCAGCAGTAACTTTCTGTAAAAGTGGTTTCACCAGTGCAGTGAAGGGCTGCTAAGAGGTGAAAAGATCTATGTATTGTGATGTACTAGACAGAGAACAAGAGACAACACCCGATCCTGGGTCAGCTGTTCTTATTCTGCCTCTTCTTCCTCTACCTTCCCTTAGCTGCCCACGCGCCCGAGTCCCAGCGTCTTTCTTCGTCTTGACACTCGGCCATGACTGTGCAGCGCGGAACTGGCGGCAAAGTTTCTGCTGGGTGGGCTTGGCTGCATCGTGGTGGTCGTCCCGAACCACAATGCAACATGGAGTGACGGTCTGGGGGAAGCGTCTCTGTTGGACACACTCACTGCCTCGAGCCGGTTGGTCTACGCCATGGTGTGCTTCTGCTTGAAGATCTGTCAGTGTGTATTCTGGTGGGCGGAATTGGCTTTGTTGCTGCAGTTGAACTCGTCTATGGTACAACATTTCCTGACAACTCGTAGAATACCACTCAGGCGGACGGCCCTGACTGTTCCGGCAAGGTCGCAGAGTAACCTGGAAATGCTGGTGTTTGTCCCACCGCCGTTGATGGACTGAACTGCAGAGGGACGCTCTGTGAGGCAGCCGTGTGGACGTTTGTGCCATTTCTCGAAATGAGTTGCGACGCAGCTCATGGTTGAGCATCAATATTACAGCAGAACTCTCTGAAGTTGTCCACCTGGTAACTTCTGGCGAACTGTCGTGTGCAGACTTGGTGTCCTAGGAGGGAACAGCACGAGGGCTGGTCCTCGACAAGTTCTCAATGGCAGTGGCCTCAGCATGGCTAGGTGTCTGGATTTTCTCAAAGGAAACATCCCTTGGGAGCCAAGTGTCTGCACGGCTGAGCGTAGGTGCGTCTTCGAAAATGAATGTATGAGTCGTCTGCAAACATGGCTGTGTCAGGCTACGGCTGATCTTGTTCGCATCCCTATAGGCCTGGTTTGTGAAGCGGTAAGGAGTGCATTTTGTTTCTGACGATCATGGTCTGGTGGGGTTCAGTTGTGTCTGGTACGATAGATGTGAGCGCCTCCATGTCCTCAAATGACAACGAGCGCGAGGACAGTATCTCCTGAGAAAGGTCTGGTGGTGGTATTCCCGGGTCTAATACTGATGCAAAGTTCATGACCTGCAAAGGAGGACTGTGGTCACTTTGGTCAGGGTCAGCAGCAGGAATCTCCTCGATATACTTCATTTCTCGAGAGGTGTCTTTTTGCAAAACGGAAATGCTTTCATGCTCGGTTACTGAATCATTTAAAGCGTGCAGACCCGCTTCCGTCTGGTTAAGGATGAGCATGGTGAAATCCACAAGCACGTGCGTTTGATGACGCGGTAGAATGTCCCAGTAAGATGGAGGCTGGCGCATCAGCGTCTACCGAATGTTCTGACTACTCCGGATGACGTTCGTTGGGGCCTGTCGCAGGGTGTTTTGCAAAACTTGCCGTGAGAGACCTACCAGACACGGATGCACAATCGGGCCGCTGCTCCATGACAGCAGAAATGCCTGTGCAAGGCAGAGTTACACGATCGAGATTGTTCCCTACATCTTGGTCACCGAGAAATGACAGGATGGTAGGGGCTCGAATTGCATTCTCTAGGTCGGGCTTTTCCCAAGTTCCGTCGTGAGAGAAGGTCGAGTTGCATGGGCAGGTGGCACAGAGAATCGGACTGAAAGCAGCTACGAGCTTCAAGCTCCACTCCGCCCAGGACTGCTGCTTGAAGCCTTCATACCGGTGCCACGCCGCTGCACCTTCCCGAAGACGGTCTACAGCCACGGTCCATTTCTGAGATTCCGTCCAGGCCTCGCGCATTGCTATGGCGTTGACGGTTGCCACCCAGCTGTCAGCGTCGTTCCGGACCCCGTGGAATTCCGGTAGTTCGCAGATGGCTGGTGATTGTGCGAGGTGGCAATGCAGAGATCACCGACGCGAAGCAGTCGAGCTGGTGGGACAGCTCAATGAGAGAAGACCGAAGCTCCCTGCGTTGCTCCGGTGTGCTTGCCTCAAGGTCGAATGAGGCAGCTACATCCAACACTGCTTTAATGTCACACAACACTGGCAACATTGTAGGAGCTCGCTCGGCGATCAACGCTGTCAGTTTGTTAGTCTCGGCGTGGAGTAGTGCGATGGTACGCCGCAGTTACACGGCACTGTCGCACCAGGATTCTGAATCACTTTGGTTCAGCGTCCGTGAAGTACGTGTTTCTAGTAGTACTCACGGCGGTGACATGCACGTCCAAGGAAGCATGAACAGTGTTTCTTGGCGGCTCGTATGTTGGAAGAGTACTGGACAGGGAATGCAGGCCGTGGGAAGGTTGAACAGCATTCCCAAAGGACAGGAGCCCATGCGTATTACGGCCGCGAAGTGGTAGCATAGTGTCCATTGGGTGATGTTCTGGTACGACAGAGGAAGCATGGACATCGTCCACTGATGGTCCGATGGGCAGCTGAAGCAGCGGCCGCACTGCCGACGAACAACGAAGACACGTACCGGTGGCTTCCCGCAGAGGGTTCACTTGTCGGCTTGTACTAGACAGAGAACAAGAGACAACACCCAATACTGGGTCAGCTGTTCTTATTCTGCCTCTTGTTCTTCTACCTTCCCTTAGCTGCCCACGCTGCCCGAGCCCCAGCGTCTTTCTTTGTCTTGACACTATTGTAAATTCACACAGCCGCATAGCCCCCACTTCAATAATAAATGAACATATCATCGATTAATCATTTTCAACATTCAAAAGCTTGCTATACAGGCTTATATGCTCAGAGTGTAGTAAATGCCAAAACTTGACAGAACGGCCTCGCGAAAACAGTTCCGCACACATGTAATCGTTATCTCCACCCACAAGGTCTTCCCCATGTCCACTGCTGAATACAGAGACACCTGACGCAGAAAGTTGGCTGCAAGGTGGTCAACATCTATGAGCATGCGCTCCACAACGCAGCACCTGTATTAAGTCTTGAACGCATGGACTACACCCAGGCCAAGCGGCTGCACTTTTGATGTCGTGCTGAGCAGCAGGAAAAGATGCAGAAGGCCTTCCACCTGCCATCCTGACCACACCCACACCCACACCCACACCACACACACACACACACACACACACACACACACACACACACCACACACACACACACACACACACACACACACACACACCAACAGCGGGCAAGATGTACACTTGCAACTACAAGCCAAAGCAAGTGGAACTGCTTCTAGACTGAAAAAAAAAAAAAAAAAAACTTAATTCCAGCCAGCACGGCTGGCGTCGCGGAGCACTAAAGACGGGTGAAGAAGTTACGATAAAGAGAGAGGAGCATAGGACAAAAAGGCGACCTTGAAAACTTAAACACGTGGAAAGAAGGCAGGTCAGGTAGCTTGCATGAAAGGTCCATGAAATGTGCAACCCACACAAAGGAAAACTTAAGAGAGTACCCTGCGCACGCAGAGGTCAAATAATCACATTGTTGTGCCGGTGGGCTTGCACGGCCCCACCACCTTCGTTATTCGTAATTCGTTCCATGTGACAGCCGTTTTAATGCTTCCGTACGCACGCAGAGGGCATGCTGAGCGGAGTGCAAAGTGAGCGCGAACAGGTCTTAAAACAAAAAACGAATTATCAATGCCTGAGGGGTATTGCAAGTGCGTGCACTGAAACTATACGACTCTGATCCATACAAAGCACAGATGCAGACAATCAAGTACAGTCAGCGGCTAACAATGCTGCAGATGTTGTGGTCATTCTACGCTAGCGACGTCAATGATAGTGTAACAACACCAGCGATAAAAAACTGAAGGGAGACTAGTCAGCCCACCGGTCCTCGAAAGACCGGTGGCAGTGTCAAAACACGGGCCTTGTCTGGCGATCAATACGGGGTACTCCGAGTAGTAGGGGGACAAAAGACAGAGAATTTCACAACAAAAAACTGTCGGAGAGAGTGACAACCTGAGGGCTGCAGAAGCAGGATCGGCATTTAACATTAGCAGTGATTCCACTCCCACGTCAAAGTGCACCAAATCAAATTAACTGCGCCAAAATAATAATACCAATGAAAATTGTGCCAAACCCTCAGATTTGTGGGCATCCATCACAGCCAGTAGCCAACCCGGGACGTCAAAACAGCTGCAGCTTGTTCTCGGGGCCTCTAGAGTCCCAACCGTGTACTACCTAGAATTATTCCGCTGAATTAATAGTAGTTGCGCATGCGTCCCAAGTAATCCACAGTGATATGCGTGGTGCCAATGCAGCTTCTGTTGAGCAAGTCGCATCAACAGCAAAACGCGCTCTCCACAGAGGCTCGTGACTTCTACAGACCATAGGTAGTCTGTAAGCATGGTGGCGATCTCTCGGCAGACGTCATCCTTTTCAGAAATGCTGCGAATAGCTCATATCTTGAGTCGGATTGCACATTATTAAAGCAATTTTCACTAATAACTGCATGCATGCAGCCAGAATGTCTGTCACATCTATTTCTAGACATCGTCATCGAATTTACCGTGCTTTTAAGACATTGATGATACATCCCGAGGCCACTTGTTTGACATTTCGAACAATGCACTACTGGTACAAAATGCAAACGTTTGTTCTTACTTCTGGCCATCCGGAAAGGGGAGAGGGGTAATGCCATAAACAGTGTGTTTCGTATTGTACAGTGTAGGGGGCAAAATGAGAGCAGGTTTACCTGGAAGGTGACATCTCTCCAGTCTGTGCCATTGAAGCAGAAGGGCAGCTCATCGGCAGTGGGGGCTCGACCTCCACACAGGTGACGGGAGCTTCGCCAAGTGGCGCCACGTTGAACATGCCGGAACTCACTCAAGAAACGGGCTACAGGTTCCCGCAAGAGCGTCACATAAAAGTACCTGAAAGTTTATCCATTCATCACTGCTCCCTTTCCAAGCATCTTACTGCTTTTCACAAGCTGTTCAAACTGATGCTGCACATAACATCTCGAGGGGTTTTTAAAGAAGCACTGACATTAAATTTTAAAGGCATCATGACTTGTGGGATAGATCTGTGTGGACATTCACACATCATATACAAAATATCGACAGCTAGCAGAGCCTGAACATATTATAATAGGATTAAAGTACCTGTCATGCAACATCACACAAAATGCTTCACCTCGTGACATCAACACCAATTTGGTTGCAATGTTAATTACCAATAGCTACCCCCATCACAAGTTTGTGTTGGCTGCTATAACCCTTGCAAGCACTCTCTCCTAGCAGGCTTTTGCAATGGGCCCCTGCTTCATGGACTTGCAGGGGAGTACAAAGGTCCTTGCTTGGGCAGCAGCTTTCTAGGGGGCCAAGTATGCTTACAATATCCAAGAGAGAATTATAGCAGAACCCAGGGAGCCTTCCTCGAAAAGAGTTGTCAGCATAGTGTTTGTGCGAACGCAATTCTTTCAACTCATGCAGCCAGCTATGTTTACCTGAGACCCATTCTGGGTCCCACCACAGACTGTGCTTTTAGAAACAAACGAACTGCAACTGGGCACTATAAGACAATCGACAAATAATTTACCATCATGCTATTGAGCAAGCAACATTTTCAGCCGTGAAATGTGGATCATTGTGTCACTGCTCCTTTAACATCACATTGAAAGGAAGGCCAGCTCCTTGAGGTACGCCAGGAAACCATTCATCAGCACAGAAATAGAGGCAGGCTCAAGCAGTTGCACCTTTATGGCCAATTTTTGCCAGGTTGAAACAAATCAGCCCCTTCAGTAGGGGTAATGGCAGATGTAGCTGGGTGCATTGAATTACTCACTATAATAAACAGTTGTAGGGTACCCTATGTAAAGTATAGCAATGTGAGACGTCTGTGTCCTCTCTGAGAGTGTGTATTTTTTAGCGCTTGTTTCATCATGAACATATACCAACACGCCCAACTGGCAGTCATCCTCGATAGCTATGTATCCATACAAGTATTCACCTGCTATGGAAAATACTGCGCTGCAGGGTACCCTTTACGATTGTACTAGGTAGGCCATGATCATTTGAGCCACCAGTGACAATTACACACTGAAGGGCCAGTGATGGCACAAGCATAGACTTTCCTATAAATACACCAGAGGGAGCTCGCACTAGTGCACAGCACTGCAGCCAACATGAGAATCATGCGGAATACACAAATTTGTATAATCCACGTACTTTCAGCTCCGTTTGACATCGCATAGCTTGGAGCTGCTTAGTCATGAGACGAAAATCAGCACATGTTAAACAGTTACACCACACCACCTTAACCTCTTGGGCTCAGCAACTCAAATCCGGTCACGAAGTTAAAAACTGTTTGTTCTTTCATTCAAAACAAAAGCGAAATGCAACAATAAACAAAGCCACAAGTTCATTCAAAGCCGGCAAGCAAGAAGACTAGACAAATTTGTGTACTATCCATCATTCCCACGGTGGCTGAACGATCGAAGGAACGCAAGGTCACAGCCGATATGGATAGAATAGTTGAGGTGGCGAAGGAGTTGTACAGAGACCTACCGGTACAGGAGCTGAACGATTAGGATGATATTGTCATGACGTAGAGGTAGCAGAAGTCGAATATAAGAGAGCTCATTTTAATTTTATGCAAGGCGCTAAAGAGGACCGCGCAAAAACTTCTTCCTTTCTTGCTGCGCGAGCTCTTCTCAGCAGGTTGAATGCGGCACTTGCCTCCCTCCAGGGAGAACATCGTCCTGATCCTCTGCTATGAAATATACAGCGTATATAGTAGACGTATTATGCAACTGACTCAGCGCAATATGGCTTCATCAGCACAATGTGTACGATTTCTGATGTCTGCTGGCGAGTTTGCAAGAGAGTGTCAGGAATGACCCCGTATTTTACCTCACTTGGGCACCGTACAACATTGTAGGGACCAAAACACCTCTTTAGTAACTTTTCAGAAAGGCCGCGTCGGCGAATAGGGCTCCAGACCCACACTTTCTCGCCTGTTTGATAAGTGACGTATCGGTGTCGCAGGTTAGAACGTTAGGCGTCGTAACTCTGCTGCCGGGCGATTCCCACGCGTGCAAGCTGCCTCGCCTCTTGAATTCGTTAAGTAAAAGCTTGAGCATCCGTGTTTGCATCGTCACAGTCATGGAAGCATTGTCATCACTTCATGGCCATGAAGAAGACTAAATGGCATGCTTCGGATAGTTTCCTGGTGTGCCGTATTATAGGCAATCGTCTTGTGTGGTAGAACGTCGTCCCAATTTTTATGAGCCATGTCAATATACATACTTAACACATTGGCAATTGTCTTGTTGAGGCGTTCTGTTAATCTGTTAGTTTGTGGGTGGTAGGAGGTAGTCTTTAGATGAGCTGTTCCACTGAGCTCAAGTACTCAATTTAGGTGCAAGGCTGTGAAAGTGGTACCTCTGACCGTTAATATGATCCTAGGGGCACCACGCCTCGGAACGATATTTTCAATGAACAATCGTGCCACTTCTACTGCGGTGCCACTTAATTTAGCCTTTGTTTCTGTGTAGCAAGTAAGATAGTCGGTAGCGACAATTACCCACTTGTTTCCACCATGTGAAATCAGAATTGGTCAAAGGAGGTCTATTTCGATTTGAGCAAAAGGCATGATGGGCACTTGAACTGGTTGCAGCATTTCGGCTGGTTTTAAAGGTGGGAATTTTCGTCGTTGACAATCGCGGCATGTGCGGACATATTGATTCGTCAGAACCAATAATAGCCCAGACGTAATTGATATTCTACCAGTAACGACAAAGGAAGTGGTTGCGGCCTTGCCTCATTTCATTCCTAGAAGGATTGCGAAGACGTAAGGCCGCTGGTGAGAATAGGATAATAACAGACCTGTTGAAACATCGCCGAGAAATCGTATTAGAAAAAATGGCCACCTTATATACAGGTGCCTCTCAATGGGAAGGGTAACAGAATCTTGGAAAAATGCCAACATCAATTTGATGCACGGGAAAGGAGACCTCAGGGACTTGAATAATTACAGGCCGATCAGCTTACTGTCTCTTCTCTGCAAGCTATTTACAAAAATAATAGCTAATAGAACTAGGGCGAGATTAGAGTTCCATTAACCAATGCGCCTGGCAGGATTTCGTACAGGCTCCGCAAAAAAGAAAAAGGATCATATTCATACTATCAATCAGGTAATAAAGAAATGCACAGAATAGAACTAACCCCTATACATAGCCTTCATAGATTACGAGATGGCGTTTGATTCAGTCGAGACATCAGTAGTGATGCAGGCACTACGGAATCAGGGCGTCGACGAACCCTACAGAAACATACTGAAAGAAATCTACAGCGGATCCACAGCCACCATAGTACTCCATAAATAAAGCGACAGAATCTCAATAAAGAAAGGTGTAAGACAGGGAGACACGATCTTTCCCATGCTATTCACCCCGTGTTTACGGGAGGTTTTTAGGACCCTAGACTGAGGAGTTAGAGATAAAAGTTAATGTAGAGTATCTTAGTAATCTGCGCTTCGCTGATGACATTGCCTTGATGAGCAACTCGGGGAAGGAATTACAGCTCATGATGAATGACCTAGATAGGGAAAGCAGAAAAGTAGAAGTAATGATTGTTATGCACAAAACTAAAGTAATGTGTAACAGTCTCGGCAGAAGACAGCATTTTGTGATAGGTTGAGAGACGCTGGAATTTTTAAAGGAACCTATCTACTTAGGACAGGTAGTAACCGCGGAGCCGAATCATGAAAGTGAAAGAACTATAAGAATAATGATGAGGTGGATCCCATTCAGCGAGAATTCTCTAATCATGAACGATAATCTGCCACTAATCCTCAAGAGGAGATGTATAACAGCTGCATGTTACTCGTACTTACCTACCCAGCAGAAACCTGGAGGCTTACAAAGAGGGTTCAACTTGAACTGAGGACGACGCATCGAGTGATGGAAAGGAAAATGATAGGTGTAACCTTAAAAGACAAGAATAGAACAGAGTGGGTTAGGGAACAAACTGAGGTCAAGAATATCATAGTTGAAATTAAGAATAAATGAGCATGGGCCGGGCACGTAGGCAGGATCACTGCTGGTCACTAAGTCAAACTGACTAGATTACCAGAGAAGGCAAATGCACGAAGGCGAGACTGAAATTTAGGTAGCTGATGAGGTTAAGAAGTTCGCAGGTATAACATGGCAGCAGAAAGCACAAGACCGGGTGGATTGGCGGATCATGGGAGAGGCCTTTGCCCTGCAGTGGGCAGAGTTAGGCTGATGATGATGATGTGCACAAGGCCCAGCGAACGTGAGAAATCGCAGACGCGTTTGAAATAATAAAGAACAGAACAGGTGTGTGAGCCAGCCCTCATTTGCTATCGCTAATGCCCAGGTTTTATATCTACAGCATTCGTGATTAGATGCTTGGTTGGGGTTGATAAGGTTTTGTTAGTGCTTTCCTTTGTCTATCTTTTATCTATTCCACATTTCTTTTCTAATAAACTTTACAGTTTTTAGACAGCACTTGCATCATGTACGTTCTTATATTCTGGGTCCTTTTATATTCGCCGAGTGACACAACTATGTTCCCATTAGCCCAGTTTGCTATATTACTTCAACACCGTAGGAAACTCCACGACTTACAATAGCATTGATCGATATGTGGGGTTTGACGTCCCAAAACCACCACATAATTAGGAGAAATGCTGCACTGGAACGCTTCGAAAATTTCGTCCACCTGGTGTTCTTCAACGTGCACCCAAACCTGATCACACGGGCCTACAGATTTCGCCTCCATCGAAAATGAAGGCGCCGCCAGGATTCGATCCCGTGACCACTGCGGCGGAGGCTTATACAGTAGCTTTGGCCACGACCTCCTCTATAAACTTACGACCTACTCACCGGTGCCACCCCTATGGGGGCGTGTGGGCCCGAAAATTGGTGCGTAGGGACCAGAGATACCGCGAGGTGCCACCACGACTTACCCTCATAGCAGACCACGCGCTGCTGTAGTGGTGCACTCGTGTGTGCGCGTTTCTGCAATTTTTATCTTATTTATAACGCGCCGGTCAAGCAACCCACAGATCCAATGAATCGAAGCAACATTCTAGCTGTGAGAAGCACCATGGTGGTTATTTCCGGGATATTCACTACAGGAACTCCATAGGAACTCAATCTGCAAGAGCGCTTTTGTGTCCTCGTCTAAGCGCAGGCGAGCAATATGCAAGTCACCACCCATTTGTATTGCGCAGTGTGCCCCACCTAACCGCTGTCTAGAAGTTACAGAAATAATTCGTCCATAGGCAATTAAGACTTCAATCTTGTAACGAAGTGAAACATGAAATCGGAGTTTCTGCAACACAAATAAAGACGGACACGGTACTAAAAACGCATGCGATGACCCGCGTGAGTTTCATTCCCTGCATATTGTCCTTCAATGATACTGCTCATGGATAACAATAGAAGGGAGCAGTTGTGTCTGGCGAACGTCGAATGGTCGATGGAAGTTCTCGATAATACCGGCGTATTAGCGCAATGTTCTTACAGTGATTTCTCGCACCTGCAGCAGTTCGTTGCAGTTATTGCCACTGTTCCGAGCGCCGCTGGCGTTTCCATGTGTGTCTCACCAGCGATGTCATCAAGCTTTTATCACTGGAGCAGCAATATATAACGCATTTAATGACAACAGCTTTTGTCATGCTCCATTTCGGTAAAGGGAATAATGTTTTCTAGAAACGCGAGTATCTGTACCATGCGTTCTAACTGACTAAATCACTTTGAACTGTCCCTGTTCTATACGACGAGCTTTTAGCATTGACGCTGTCGAATGTAAGTTACGGGAAACTCGTCAAACGATATCTTAGGTGACCACCCGCCGCTCGACTTGCGTAATGGAACACAGCAGTAAACCATTATTTGAATGGTGCTGTACCTGTCGCACCCTAACGCTCCCGAGTCCTGAACAAATATCCTGACAAACATTAACCTTCAAATGGCACAAAAACGAGTCAACGCACGCACCCACCACGCAGGAAAGTGCTTTGGCGGCTGCAGCGATGATGGTTAGTTGTGGCGCCATGGTGTGCTGCGATACTTTTGAGAACTGAAAAAAAATTTTAACAAGCAAAAGCAAACCTGGCGACATGGGGAGCGGTGGCATGAGCAAGTCGTAAGTTTATAGAGAAGGTCGTGGCTTTGGCTGGCTTTAGCAGCTCGAGGAGAAACTTCGGTAGAGGCGCGCGGTCACTGGCACTGACATCAGTAACAAAGTGAAAGGCGAGAGGAAACGTTTTTTTTGGTAACAAAGTGAAAGGCGAGAGGAAACGTTTTTTCTCGGCTGCCGAGTTTCGGAGCAGCGATTTAAATACTGTTTGCGTTCGTGTCAGCATTCAGCACTACACACACTCCAGAACAGATGAATAAACGTTGCAGGACCTAGTAGGGAAAAGGCCGTGCGCTCCTGTGTTCACGCTTAAAAAGATCGCGAATGTGGTGAGTTGGTAGCGTTCGAAAAATACAATGAAAAGACGAAACGTACTCGTCTCCATCGCGTTTGGTGGTGGTAAACGCAATACAGATTTTTCGTTGAGCGTCTTTCCGATCAGTGAGATAAACGTACCGGCGCTTTGCGGGTGCCCTCTCGGCGCGATCCATGGCGTGGTCGACGCAGGCGGTGAGCTCGGTCCAGTCGGCGTGCAGTCCGCACTTCCATCCGGTCGAGTAGCGGCTGAAAAGCCACGAGCGCTGGCCGCCCGCCGACGGGGGCCGGGCACATCGGCAGCGCTTGCGGCCGCGCAGGCACTGGCACGGCCGTTCCAGCTCCAGGTCGCGCACAAGATGCCGCCCGAACACGGTGCCGCCCGTCTTCTGGATGTGCAAGAACACCATGACGTCCGAGCCGCGCATGTCGAACTCGAAATCGTCACGTAGCATGTCTTCGAAGGAGAGCTTGCTGGGCCGACCCTCACGCGTCATGAAACGCGGAGGTCCAAGCACCGCGCGGCCGCTGACACTCGCCGCGCGGTGGCTGGGCAGTCGCGGGAAGAGGTACGCGGCCACCACGAGCACGAATACAACGAGTGCGCAAAGCAAGGGGCGGACCATGCTCGCGCACTCATCGCGGCACGGGCGCACGTAGTACGCTCGGCAGAGCTACGCCTGCAGAGCTTCACGCACGTAGAAAGGCTCGCTTGACATGCACCGCCTGCAGCATCTTCAAAGTGCGGCCAATGGTAGTATCACACAACACCCACAGAACACCTATACACTACCATTGAACACCTACCATAGTATCACTATAGTGTACTAGAATATGGGGTAGTGTGTTCAAGGAGGAGCCGTGGCTGACGCAGTTGGTATTGACAGCCGCGAGATGACGCCACCCTAGCATAAGCTGTTACCTCACGCTTTGCTTTTTATGCACTTCTGTGCTTTGATATTAGTAATAGCGGGGGTTTAACGTCCCGAAACCACCATACGCTTCTGAGAGACGCCATAGAGGAGTGCTCCATAAATGCGACCACCTGGGGTGCTTTAACGTGCACCTAAATCTAGGTAGATGCATCTCAAGTATTTGCGCCTCCGCGGAAAATGCAGCCACCGCGGACGGGATTTGATCCCGCGACATGCGCTTGCATACGTAATTGATGACACGTCCGCGAAAAGCTTTCTAATGGGTTTCTTTGTACTGCATTCAAAACAAAACAAAATGTCAAAGCCACAACACACGGTCCAAATGCTGGTATTGTCACGGGGTCGTGACGTGGCCGAAGACAGGAGACTTCGTGTTGGGATTTAACTGTTTATTTGGGCGAACCTGTGCCCGGTAAACGGAAAGTCCAATTACAGCAGCAGGTTGCGCTGAGAATCGTGTGGTGTTTTGGGACGATAACAAAAACTTGGGAAATGGAACGTGGCAGTATTAACAAACGACGGCGAAGCAGTCATCCCTGGGAAACTGCCTGCAGTTTTTAAAGCTTGGTTGCTGAATGAATAAAAAAATTATGAATTTTGAAATATCGAAGGAGCATCTATAAATCCGAAAGTTTCTTGTTATATTACTGCCATATCAAGTCGTAGTCTGCACATTGCGACAGCTTCGACTTCCTTCGTTACGCGCGCGGCATCGGTCTTGTCGATAGTTGCATCATGCAATTTTAATTGTGTTGCTAAGGTGACAAAACTGCTATTTGATTGAGAGGCACTGAAGACTTGGCAATAATTTTGACAATCTTGGGTCTTTAAACGATTACGCTCCCGCCGAAATACTGCTACTTTGGCCGGGATATTGCACTGCACAGTCAAAAGGAAACATCACTTGGCACCACTGTCAGACTGTACGAAACCCTTTATTTACGAGCGCGCATACTGCAATGCGAAAGTAATGTACAACAACCTCAGAAAAGAGCAGCGCTTCGAGATAGGTAATAGTGCACTTCAAGTTGTAAATGACTATGTCTACTTAGGGCAGGTAATAACCGCGGAGCCGAACCACGAGATTAAAGTAACTAGAAGAATAAGAATGGGGTGGAGCACATTTGGCAAGCACTCTCAAATTATGACAGGTAAATTGACACTATCCCTGAAGAGGAAGGTATATAACAGGTGTATCTTGCCAGTACTTAGCTATGTAGCAGAAACCTGGAGACTTAAAAAGAGGGTTCAGCTTAAATTGAGGACGACGCAGCGAGTCATGGAAAGAAAAATGGTAGGTGTAACCTTAAGAGACAAGAAGAGAGCAGAGTGGATTAGGTAACAAACGGGGGTTAAGGATATCATAGCTGAAATCAAGAAGAAGAAATGGACATGGGCCGGGCATGTAGCGCGTAGACAGGATAATCACTGGTCGTTAAGGGTAACTAACTGGATTCCCAGAGAAGGCAAGCGGGTTAGGGGGAGACAGAAGGTTAGGTGGGCAGATGAGATTAAGAAGTTTGCGGGTATAAATTGGCAGCAGCAAGCACAGGACCAGGTTAACTGGCGGAACATGGGAGAGGCCTTTGTCCTGCAGGGGACGTAGTCAGGCTGATGATGATGATACTGCAGTGAGCAGTAACATTGATTTAATTCGTCGCCATTCCGTGGAATTATCAGTTCACGATCACTTTATCACGGTTACACCTTTATGAACACCAACTGATTTTCGCGTGAAGCTTCTTTTTTTTTTCGTTTTGCCTCTCGAGACAGGTTGATACCCTTCACGAAAAAATGAAGTCGTGACAGCGCGTAAGTTACTGCTTTCTTTGACACCGAGATGCGGTGCGATCGAGCTCATATAAAATCAAGGTAAACAAAGCTTGAGTAAGCGTTCCAGCGAAGCTGCAGTCTCTTTAGTGTTTGCCACCTCGGGTTCGTAGTCAGCAGGAAGACCCATCGATGAACCTGAATCAGTGGCCTCACCGTCAACACAGGGTGCTGCAGTTATTTTTTTTTTTTTTGAAGATGGTAGATTCGACCGCCGAGGTCTTCCGCTTTCTCGGAGGTCTTGGATGCGGCGCTTCTCTTCGATAAGTAGCTTGGAGCGTTAGGCAGTAACATCGGCACGGCGTCCAGCGTTAGCTCTGGTCTCCTACGTGGTACGCGAACTTCTTCGCCGTTTATAACGTGCACGTAGTCTCCGAGAACTCATGAAGACTCGAAGTGTTGCTCACATACAGAGCAGCTTTATCGAAGGTCCCATCCTTTCGAAGTAAATTCTGTTCACAAACCTTCCTCCGTGCTTCGTCTTTGGGTGCAGCGAAAAGCGACGGCTGCTCACCTTTTTTCCAAGGTATACCCTGTTTAGCACTTGGTGCAAAGCAGTGTCGTTGCCTCCGATGACTCGGCATCACCTCACTGTCGCGTGGCCAGCAAAAACATTGCCAGAAGAACTTTCCTTAAGCGGGCGCGAACACAAGCAACAGGTCACTGAACAGCACCCGAGAGCGGCGCGCAGCAGAGCGGCACGGACCTAGGGTGGCTACATGAAGAGGTGTGAAAAGCGGCCGCTGAAACCGGTCTCAAAAGCGCGCCGATGCCGCTTGGAGTGCCGCACGCAGAGGCACTAGAGAGCTATCGAACTTTAAAGCAGGAAATCGCAGAGGACAAGATCTATGATAATACTCGGGGTCACGGAGCCCGGGGTAGTTCTCTACTGTTTGAGGCCAGGACGGGAGTATTGCGAACCAAGACATATCGGGCCAAATAAGAAGGGGTAGACACAGTACGCAGTGCATGTGGAGAGGAAGAAGAAACTGCCGAACACTTGATAATGTTCTGTAAAGGGCTTCACCCTATAGTTCAGGATGATGGCGCAGAGTTTTTCAACGCACTGGGGTAGAGTGTACTAGAATGGTCTGCGTGGGACGGACGGAGTGCTCTTGCTGAGGCGGCGTTCGTTGATTGAATAGGCGGCGCTGCGGGCGAGGTGGATTGGTCGCGATCAAGCGTGCTAACGCGCATCGGCCACGCGTTCTCGCACTTCGCTCTATTTTTGGAAGTGTTTCGGTTCACCCGGTGGCACGAACCTTTTCGAGGCAAAAACGTTTGATTCACCCAATAGCCGCTTAAAACCGGCTTGACTTGGCTTAAAGTGTATAAATAGATAGCGCTAAAATCGGTGTGTCGAAAAACATTTTTCAGGCGATTTGGGCGTTCTTTATTCTGTGGTTCAGGTAGAGTTCCTCGCTAGCTTGTGACACACAGTCTGTGGCGCGTTCATCGTGTTCTAGTCGTGATGTTTTTTTCTCCGATGTTGGTGCTCAATTGGACTGTAATCTGTTTGAAATGGCGAGAACCGCCTCTGGCCATGGGGTCGTGGTCGCTTTCTGTTGTTAGAAAGTGATTCATACGCAAGTCGCTGCCGCTTTTCTTAATTCCTGTGATGTCGCCGTGTTCAGGAGCTTTTTATCCGTGCTTATCGAGTAGTTAACGTCATTCGCCCGAAGCACAGAACACCTACCAGCCCGAAGTGTTTGCCACCAAATCTACAAGCAATGATAACGAGCATAAAATAAAGGCCTTTGGAACGCGATTTGTGAATGTTGGTCTGACGCATGTACTACGCGGATGTATGGTAGGTGCATGCGTGTTGCTTGAGGACCGATCAAACAGCTGGTGTCAATTGGGAGGAAGTATATACTGTGCCAACGCTTTCGTTGAAGCTTGTTCTTGCGTAAGTGCGCGAGATAGGTACGGAATACACAAGTTGGAATTAGAGAACGTTCTTGTCCGAGTGGCTTTATTAAGCAGTCGCAGATGATGGCAATTTGTTTGCTTAGCAGTGTGTGTTTAGATTGGGGTAACCAACAGTGAAGGTAGTTGTGTGTGGGTGAGGAAATTAGTTTTCTTTGTTGCGGTACCTTCCAAACAAATCCGTTATTTCTTCTCTTCATTGCGTCAGTCTCTTGATGTGGCATTAAATTTTGCTATGTGCTCTTCCTGACACTTCCTCTTGCTAGAATGCTCTAGTAAAAGTTGACGCTAAAGTTCAGCTGAAGTGTTTAAAGTTCCTTGCAGCTGACCACAGCAACATTTCTTTGTCTATGTGCTCAGTTGGACGCACGTTATTTGGCATGCCTTTTATAGCACAAAACGTTTCTCTTTTTTTCGTTTACTGAACAGTCCGGAAAAAATCGGGGACATCTGTCCCGACTGGGACAGCGCAGGCAAAGTCTTGGACAGTCCAGCAAAATTCGGGACGGCTGGTAACACTAGTTTAGGCAAGTGTATAAAAATGAAAAAAAAGTAATAAAATAGAAATTTCATTGCTGGGAGCATTGTCGAGCTTCAATTGGTAACCCGTAAGTCTTTTTAAAAGTTAACATTGCCGCAATACAGCAGTGTCATGGGGTGAAGTGCTTGCAGTGTATTGCAGTAAAGCACACATTATGCGCGCGTGTGTGCGCGTGTGAAATGGAAGCGTAGCACTGCTATTAGGCCTAATGCGATGCGCCGTGCTTTGTCTTATTACTGGTCATGCGACAGACGGCATCAGCACCAACTTCAACCTTTGTAAAGAGTCCATATGTTCCCCCCATAATTATTTTTTTTAATTGTGGCAAGTGATTCACACTGCAGTAAACTTCTAGTATATCGCATGAATAATTTAAAATTGTTGCATGGCCCCCAATGAAGAAGTGAAAAATACCTGTGACAGACACCTTGGTACTCCAGATTTTGTGCCATCAGATATGTGCTCTAAAATGAAAATGATCATTATTAGTGAAATATATACTCAGGCTAGGTATTGGAGACGATTGTGCATGTTTTGCA